GTAACATTTAATTTAAAAGAGGTCTCATTACAAAATAGAGCAATATTATTTATCAGAGGATATTTCATCGAAAACATCAATATCGCTACACAATTGCAGTCGTGTTTCGATGCGTATCAAATGCATTTCATCAGTCCATTATAAATTATTGGTGGGTGAACGATTTATTTAAATTTAAAAGCAAAATACAACCGCTTTTATGAAAAAAAAAAGAAAAGAAAGGGTTGTAAGTTTTGTGGGTTTTCCTCAGGTCAACCAATCGAATATGACCCACATCTTCATCGGGCTAAAGTGATGTTTATATTGATACGACTTAAGTGATTAAAATTTTAAATCCCCATTTAGTCTTCTCATAAAATATATTTTGGGGTACATAGAGTTGCCGATTTCAATAATTTATTTTTTTCTTTTGGTTCATGCTTTCTCCAATTTTTTTTTATTTATCGCATATTGTGATCATAGATCTACCAAGAACGTGAGGGATATTTAAGAATCTGGATGTATATTTACTCTGCATAAAGTAGCAATTAAAGCACTTACTATATATTTCGTATAATGCATTTAGTGTGTTGCTTTGTAAAATTTGCCTTTTGTTTTCATATAATCTTTTATTTAAATTCCTTGAGGTTTCTCCAATGTATTCCGAGTGGCAATTATTGCAGGTTATGAGAAGATTGTATAAATGCATTGTAATTGTGGAAGTGATATAGTTGGCGTGTAGAACAATATATTTTCACCTACAATTGTTCTTGATATATGAAAATTATGTATCGTTCCCCTCAAACAAAACCCCTGCCCCATGTATATATATATATATATATATATATATATATATATATAAGTTAATAAATCCGTTGGTATATAATCCAAGTGGATCATAGTAATATAGAATATATTAAGCTGATTTACAAAAAGGGCTCAACGTATTTATTATTATAGAGCAAATAATTCAGTTCAGTTACGTGCCATGCGTGATACAAGATTAGGCGATCACGATGACTGACGATGCAGTTTTTTTCCCGCAGTAGGTTTTCATTTCTTTTTGCGGGAGACCAGTTGCAATCCAAGGCTGTAGATGCCGGTCTGTCCTGTTATAAACCCATAGCATGGGGGAGAAGAAGAGGAAAAATACTTTTCCCAAGGGTATTAGCACATAAGTGAATGTAATTGATTTGACTTGAATTCAAACTTTGCACTCCGATCACTATCCATTACTTCACCAATTAGTACACAATAAAATTCAAAATTAACAAAAAATATATATATATATATATATATATATATATATATATATATATATATATATATATATATATATAAGAATGTATATTTGTTATTATATGCTTCTGTGTGTGCGTATTGATGTTCTCCAGTATATTTTACGATGTTTGCCATTTCAAATTTTTCTTCCTATTTTCTGAGCGACATTTCAATTATTTATAAGTTCATTAATCATCACTCATAACTATGATTGGTGAATACCCTGACGAAAGAAAAACAACTGATTTTAAAATTATTTATTGATTATGATCGATAGTTAGCTGAAACCTCATGAAAGTGGCAGTTATCACTATCCGAACTCCGTGTTTACACTGAACAGTGAAGTCCTGTCTACTAGTTCAACGTGTGTATTTTTCAGCTTGCTTAATCATCTCATAGCACTTCCGAAACAAGTCTACCAACATAAAACAACGATCTTGTGTTTCCTCTCGGGGCCAATGTGCTGATGATTAAGGGAGGGGGCTATGCTGATGAGGTAAGTATTTGAATGATTTTAAACAGAAAATTAGCATAATCTCTCAAGTTTTCCTGTAGCTTCTTGATACTCAGAATCATATGCAGAGGGATAAGCTCCTACCTGCAATGAAGAGTACTGGATATTACGATAAATTACATCTGGCACCAAGGCTTCAGATCAAGAGGTTTTGAGGAGCGTGGAACCACCTCCTACTTTTTGGTGTTCCCAGATCAACACTTACCCTTGGTGGTAGCACATATTAGGCTCCCAGCTATGAGCAAATATTTAACACCCAAACTGTGATCAAAACACTATGAATGTGTAAAAATAGGTTTTAATACCAGCAATACATTTTTGAAAAAGAAATGATTACCAGCAAAATATTTTTGGAAAGAACAAAATAAATATATTTTTACAATAGGAATCTTGTTGGCATTAAATAACCCATTGAGGTTGATATGCAGTAAGACAAAGTAAACAAAACCAAAGAATATATATTCTATTCATACGAAACTATCCTAAAAATCTTGTTTGCATTAAATAACCCCTTGAGATTCTGCCGTAAAACAAAACAAATTAATTCAAATAATTTATCAACTGTGCCAATGGGACTCAAGATATACCTTTGCTAAACAAAATCTCTAAGCTGAAACTGAAATGAAAGAGCATTAATTACATATAACCTGAATCCATCATGAAAATCCAGTGTATGGAATTAGTAAATACTAAACACTTCAGTTGAGTAAGTTATGACAATGTAAAAGAAATTGAATATAAAAAAGGTTTGCCAGAGGTAGATTTGACCAACATCGAAATTTGCTACGACACCAAAACATCAACTTGAAAACTCGTGTCATGTTCTTAAATATCCTCGCCAAACCGAGAAATTAATATGGATACTATGCACGGTATCAGACACCTTTCAGAAATGTGTGAATTCTCTTCTGTACACAATCCATTTCTAAGATCAATGCTTAAATATTTTTGAGTAATGTCTGAGGTTGTTAGTAATGATCAACCTTCTTTTGAACATACTAGATTGGCGTTAACAAATCACAAATGGCTGCCCCAAATAACAGAAACGGTGTGGACTGGTGCTACAGAATCATAAAGAACTGCATCAAATAACCTAAACTGTATTAATTAGGCAGTACCAACAGCAGCAACAACTAAAATAGGTACTACGTGTAAAAGAAAATGATAAAATAATCAACACGCAGACATTTCACTCCAGTTCAAGTAAAATGTTATTAAGATAAACACCCATCAATATTTAAAAAAAAGCAATCTAAAGACGCATTGTGTTCTGAGAAATATTTTATAAATTCCAACCAAAAGTAGGACTAACTGGTCGGTCAATGAATATCAAATGTTTCCATTATTACCATTATGAGCCACTATATCTTTCTCAGGTAAGATCTGATTCGCGCGATTTCAGGCAAGAGAGACGTTGTCGTATTGAATGTTACTGAGAATAGACGGAACATGGAAGCATCAGAGAAGATTTAAAGTGTTATTATATAAAAGAGAAAGGAATTTCTATATTTAGAAGCAGAAAGTGAAAGTTGACATTTCAGTGTCGGCGTATTCTGCAGAGAGCTTAGACCCCACCAGTGAGGCCCCTTGTTTGCCGTGGGTGGTGACCCGTAATGTTTGGTGACGGCATTCTGGTAGTTTAGGGCTTCAGGAATCAGGGTTAGATATTTCTTATTTCTAAAAAATCACTTTGGCCCTTACTTGGACTAGACGGACCGTTGGAGAGGCTAGGTCCGATATAGCGGCTGATCATGCCAAGCCTTCGCGACTATAATTATATCAATTTATCGAGTACTTTATAAGTAAATACAATATCTCAAATATACAAGGGGAAAAATCCTATTTATAGGCGTGTAAAGGCGATGGCTAGTTTCAGTAGTTTTGAAGATATCTTGACTTAGACATGGCTGCAACAAGGGATTAACGGGTGCTCAGTGTCTCTCTCGAATACGGGTATACTGCTTTTTGTAGCCCTGACCGTTCAAGACGCCTGGGTTTGCCCTTTACCACGCCCTAATGCTAGACTCCAAGGTGGGTGGAAACATAATCATTTTTTCCACATTAAAATTATGAATAACCAAAATAAAACATCCAAAATATATTTTTCAGACTCTGATTCTGAAAAAAGTACAGAATTTCCAAGATGTCTTGTTCACGTGTCACTAGATGAAGATTCTCTTGCAAATCTTTTCCATTTCGTGATAGAAAAAGTGCTATTAGTCCTTCTATAGGAAGGTTGGACAATAGATGGCGAAAAGACTTGAGGCAACAAACATATAGTTCTACATAAAGATGCTGGGATACCAAGGACTAACTAAGAAGGGGCATTTTCAGATGAATGGAAAGAAAATAACCACTTATGTTCAGAATCAGAAATTTATAGGAAGCATAAGGAAGAAAGAAAGCCCGAAGAATTAGACATTCACATCATATCTTGAAGGCACGAGGGATAGAGAGAGCCGATAACCCCTAACAGACAACGTGCAAATTGGTCGCAAAACACGCATTGGAAGGGAAAGTCAAGACTAACCTTACTAAAAGCTTCAAAAGAAAGCTGTGCAGAGCCATGGCCACCGGTGTGTTCTAGTGACTTTTCATACAGAGAAAGAAGACGTTATAACTGAATTACAGGCTAGCTTTTCGCACAGTCCTCATCAAAGTGGATCGTTCATAAATTAGACGAGTTTTCTCTCAACCCGTCCAAGTAGGTGGCTGGTTACCTCACACTGTCCATTTGATTTCGATACGGCCTTTGTCTGTCAAATTCACCAGCCGCCCTACCGCATTATATACCCAAGAAATATGTATGCTTTTGTTTCGATTTTCCATATTTTCCTTCGGTGCTCGATCCTCAGCATCCTCCTGCAGAATCTACTACTGTACTGATGCGGCATTCACCCTGGGCGGATTGAGCCGGCTTCTTTCTGTTATGAGAAGAAGATTCTTGGGATAAATTACAGAAGTAGGGTACCCAGGCCTACTCGGATAACGTTCTTGCTTGCCGCGGGGTTCCCACAGACGCAGAGACAGGAACGACCAGAAGCCGCCGGTTACCGATGCAGACGCTCCTTGGATTTTTCACCAGAGCCCTTGTTAGCCGGCGTGTGTGCGTCAGACCTGTCCGCCTTGGGTGGCCCTACCAGGAACGAAGTTCCGGGCGGCATAGCTGTGACACTACCGTTTACACCCCCCCACCGACTGTGAGGTAAGGGTTGGACTTTGGGGGTTTACAGTACCAGGTGTTCCCAAGCGGTCCCCCATCTAAGTACTGACCTGGCTCTACGATGCTTAACTTCGGTGATCGAACGAGAACCGGTGTTTCAGCGTGATTTGACCGTAAGCAGAATCACATCTATTTGATTCTAGTATTCTCTTCATCTGTGTGCTGCGTTCTTTCAGGTCGTTAAACAGCATCACTCTCCACAGTCACCTGCCACGATAGTTCTTAGTAAATGTTGATTTATTGCCAAATTTTCTAAACCCTGTCTCTGCCACCCATTTACACACGATCGCTAGCTAGGTCATGGGATGTTTTTCTTGTTTCTCTTGCATTCAGTATGTCCTGTGAGGGTCAAATTCTCCAAGCCCTCTTTCCTCATTATGTGCACCAGAAATGTCAGTCGCTTCTTTCTGTTGTCATCTGTAAGTTTGTCCTTTTTTCACTAAATATCGGCTGTTGCTCAGAGGTTCATGTCACGCCATTGTCAGCATCCTTGATCAACCACGTTTCTGTTGCTTCACGTAGATTCTTCATCTTGGAGAATATTGCCAAGCATCCACTGACATAGAGGTGGATTGATATTAGATATAATTTCAGAAAAGTTGTTTTCTCGCAAGGTTTTTTTTATATGGGTCTAAGTTGTTGATAAAAGACAAGGATCATTGTTTTTTTGTTAAGCGCTTTCGGTTGTCGTCAACCTTCACCATGGCTATATGATATAATTTGAAATAGGTTGCTAATCGGTATGGTTAGAACGTTCGTTTTCTGATCATGATACCCGGGTTCGAATCTCACCATGTTACATCTGTCAGAAACGAGACTTCCTGATATCACAGACTGATCGAGAAAGTGCCTGAAAACCATACCACGGGTTGACCCAAAACTTGTGAGTGAAATTGAGTAGACAGAACTCTTGGGGTCCATCGATAATTGTGCTAGAACGAAGCCACAATTCATCGTGGCGGAGGGCTTGAGCATTCTGGTCTTGTTCAAATTGGTGATAAGGTGTCCTCATTATAGGTACAGTATAAACCAGAGGTAGGCTCAGTGGGTGTTGAACAAACGCAAATCTGCCTGAGCGACCGTCTGCAATATAGATTCGCAAGCCGACTTAATAGACTGGTATTCTCGAATACGTGTGGCCAGGTATTATATTAGGGTGATTTTTATTTTTATTTTTTATTTTAGGGTATTCAAGCAGTGTTGTTGGATTAGTTCATTAACAAGTAGGAGTAGGTTTTGTATTTATTATTTGGACGTTTATTTATTAAATATGTTTCTGCCAGTATTAAATCATATTTTATTTGTGTCCAGATTTTGTTTTTTAATTGTGATGGCTTCAAAAATTTGTAAGCGTGTTTTGCAGTTGTTTTTGTGGAGGATTTTCGTGTTTCTTAATATTTTCTGAGACGCTGGAAGGTGAATTTTACTATTTTAATCTGTCTTCGGATTTCGGTTTTTTACACGACCATTTTCTTCTTGGAATGTATTTTTTATGGCTCTGCTTCTTCATAGTCGTAATTATTTGTACCACTAAGTACCTCGTCATGTCTACTTTATTTGTACCACTAAGTACCTCGTCATGTCTACTTTCGCACGGCCAGGTTCAAAATCACTCGATATTGCAAATTGGAGACACCAAAATTAAAATGTACACCAATTTAAATATCAAACAGGAGGGAAAGTGTGACACTGAAAAACAAAGGCGTATTGGAATTGTGAAAGATGCCTTCCAAAAGCTAAGCTAATAATTAAAAAAACGGATAAATGTCGTTAGAAACAAAGAAAACACGATTGAGCTATAACATCATATCAGTCCTTCTATATGGCAGTGAATACTGAACTGTTTCAACACAGATGAAGAAGAGAAAATGGATATAACATTTAACACCAGAAAGAAATTTGAAATTTCGAGGGCACGTAATGAGGAAAGAGGGCTTTGAAATTTTGATACTCACAGGACAGACTGAATGCAAGCGGGCCAGATGAAATCAATGCATAATCTGCCCAGTGATCGTTAGTAAATGGATGGCGGAACAAGGTTTAGGATACATAGCAAAAAGACAAAATATGTTATGAGCTACAAAGGACTGGAAGTTGTGGAGAATTATGATCACTACTAATTTGAAGGAACAAAGCAGGGAAGAAGAAAAAAAAAAGTTAGTTATCCGTTCGCACCGTACTCTTCAAAAACACTCGATTATCGTACGAGTAACCGTATTCTGATTTCAATTCCACGTTTGCGTTTCTAATTGAATTTTCCTAGAAAATGTTGCTGGAGCGAATTTTAAAATTTATTTAGGAGCGGAAAATAAAGAATTTGAAAACTTTTAATACGTGGAGTAGGCTTGATGAAATCATATGTGCCTATTTTTTATTGTATTCAGTTCATATACACTTGCGGAAAACGTGCCCAGCTTCTTTGACTAAGGAAAAGTCATAAACGGCTCAAGACGTCTTGATGGATTACTTGAATCATGCTTACTGACTGCCGTAGAAATTCATCTCAGAATAGACATTTATTTGTATTCCTGGACGTTGTACATCGCTTAACCGACCTGTCTATATTGAACTGGACCCAAATCAATATGGCGTTTTATTACCGACCGCCATACTTCACTCTTCTTTATTGTCTTTTTTTGTTTCTTTTTTACTCATTCTTTCTTTCTTTCTTTCTTTCTTTCTTTCTTTCTTTAAACCTTCTTGGTATCTTTCTTCTTGTTTATTTTGTTACTTTCTCTATCTTTTAAAAATGTTTTGAGTCTTTTACTCTTTCTTTCTTTCTTTCTTTCTTTGAATATATGTTGTATCTCCGTTGTTTTATAAAGTTGTTAATTTTTTTTATTTGGCTTTTTTCTTCTTCTTTTTTAAACCGTTGTGCTGTCTACTTTCTTTCATAAACCTGTTTGTTTTATTTTTTCGGTCATCTTTCCTTTCTTTCATTCTTTCTTTCTTTCTTTAACTTTGATGATGTCTTCTTTCTTTCATAAATCTGCTTCTTTTCATTTTATTTTTTTTCTTTCTTTCTTTCTTTCTTTCTTTCTTTATTCCATCGTATTGTCTTATTTCTTTAATAAACATGCTTTGTTTCATTTTCTTTGCTTCTTTCTTTGTTTCTTTGTTTCCTTCTTAGTTTGTTTCTTTCTTTCTTTTGTGGTGGTGTATTCTTTCTTTCATAAACATACGTCGTTTGATTTTCTTTCTTTCTTTTCTTTCTTACGTCAACCCTGATGGCGTCTTCTTTCTTTCATAAACCTGCTTCGTTTCATTTCAATTATTTCTTTCTTTCTTTTTTTCTTTTTTTCTTTCTTTCTTTCTTTCTTTCTTACAGCGGGGTGTTTTCTTTCATTCATGAAATGCTTCATTTCTTTTCTTTCTTTCTTTTTTTCTTTTTTTCTTTCTTTCTTTCTTTCTTGCAGCGGGGTGTTTTCTTTCATTCATGAAATGCTTCATTTCTTTCTTTCTTTTTTTCTTTTTTTCTTTCTTTCTTTCTTTCTTTCTTGCAGCGGGGTGTTTTCTTTCATTCATGAAATGCTTCATTTTCTTTCTTTCTTTCTTTCTTTCTTTCTTTCTTTCATTCATTCATGTTGGTGTATTCTTTCTTTCCTAAACATCTTTCGTTTCATTTTCTTTCTTTCTGTCTTTCTTTTTAAAACTGTCTTGGCCTATTTCTTTCTCTTTGATTCTTAGCAAATTTTCTTTTTTTTCTTTTTCAGTTTTTTTTCTTTCTTTTTAAAAATTAAATAAATTACCTTCATAAGTTCTTTCAGTGTTCCTTTATTTAGCACCTTGCTTCTCTTTCTTCCTTCTGTTTACCTTGAGGCGTTCTTTTCACATTTTCCATTTCCTTTCATTTCGAATTTCGACATCGTCTATTCCTTTCGGTAAACATCTTCCCGCCAATACTTTACAATTTCCTTTTATTTCAACTTCCAATTTCTTCTACTCTCGCGCGATTTTGCGATATCTATTTTGATTTATATTATAATAAGTTGTTTTTTTTTCTCTCTCTTGAATTTCTTCTTCTCTGTTTATTTTCATTTTCTCGATTTCATTTCGACTTCCTTCTCCTTTCACTGATTCTCGTTCGATGTCGACGTACGGCGAGATTAGACGTCATATTTGTGATGTATAGATGAACACAAATGAGATCATGCCATTTTTTTTCTTGGGGTTCGATCTTCACACATTCCAATAATTGCATCTGCCAACATTTCAGCACGATCTTTCGGTCCGTTTTTCTTCTTGCTTTACTTGACTGACATATACTATTTCTTCAGTTTCCTTTGAGAAGTCTTTTACATAAACATCCTTACTTCCAATACAGGGGTACTGAAATAATCTGGCTTGACCCACTTCCAGTAAACTGACCGAAGAACGAAATTACAGGCTTATAAGTGAAAGTGCTTCTTTATTAAACCAAAATGAAAACAAATATTATGTACCCTTACCTGTATCACACACACACACACAAACACACACACACACATATATATATATATATATATATATATATATATATATATATATATATATAAAATATTAGTGGTAAATATACATACATATGCAAAATATATAAATACACATACATGTATATTTTTTGAATAAAAATTCCAAGGGTAAGAACCCAGGTAGAACTCAATGTCCAGGACAGAGTAAGGATATAATAAAAAGGCTTAAACACTAATATTCAATGGTCATAATTTATTCCACCTCTTCTAAAATCTCTCTGTTAAGGTTTAATCTCCCTCCTCTTCATACTTACACTCTCTCTAAATTCTGTTTTTATTTCCGGAGTTGTTTTTTTCTGTTTTCTTTTTGAATTTGTAGGTCTGATAAATTGGATCGTATTTACGATTCCAATGGAATAAATTATGACCATGGAATATTAGTGTTTAAGCCTTTTATTTTATATATATATATATATATATATATATATATATATATATATATATATATATATATATATATATATATATATGCCAATTTCTGTTTGAATCAAGTTGCAGCCTAAACCCATGAGGCAATATTCATGAAATTTTGCAGACATGTTAATCTGACATCCAGTTTGTTACTAGGATATACATTTTTTTTTAGAAAAATCTATAATGGAACAGATC